GAGTCTCCACGCTGCAATTTACTCACCTGTCACCTTTATCCGATTGGCCCTCAACAAATGTCTTTATTTCCCCACCTGGATTCTCGTCAGCAACCTCATCCCCAGGTTCACATTCACTTGTTTCTTCAAAGAAGAATGAGTGCCCCCTCTCTGACAGTGCCCCTGTGTCAGGCCCTGTACTATGGAACCCCCACCCCCGAAATGGACAAGCCAGGCACTGGGCGAGGACCAGGAGGCGCGCAGTCTGGTGGGGAAGTTAGAAGAACACGGTGCATTCTGGTGCAATTGTAAAATGAGGCCACCGCCGGCCAGCCAGCTGGAGGTTAAGGCAGCTGGATGCCACGTGGCCGAAAGACACGCCGGATATGTGTGCACGCGTGCCTAAAATCTCTCCCAAGGAGATGCAGAAGGGATTGTGGCATGGCCATCTCCCCTGGGGGTGCTGGACTCCCACATGGTTGACCACGGTTAGAGTCCCACACCTTGTGACCTGCTTTCTCATTCCCCCCACCCTGATCTCTCTCTGGTCAAAAAAAAAAAAAAAGAATTAATGGAATAATAATAAATAAAATTTTTAAAAACTGGCGTAACTACTATGCAAAGTAGTATGATTGTTCCTCGAGAACGGAGTGGGGTTGCACGCGGTCTGGCGCTTCCCGTGGGGAATACACGCAAAGCATGAGAAGCAGGGGTCCGTGACTCTTACTACCCCTGTCAATATCCGCCAGAGTGCCACAGCCCAAGGTGAAAGCGAGCCATGCCCTGGACGGCTGGGTGGACACTCGCAGCGTGGTCCGTTCACACAGAGGCTGTGACCTGGCCTCAGGTTGGGACCCTGACACCTGCTGAGCCATGCACGGCTCCTGACACCCTGACACAAGACCAGCCTGGGTGGCCACACCCCCAGGAGACCCTAGAGTAGACACACCCAAAGACAGGAAGTAGAAAGGGTGCCAAGGCTGGGGAGGGCAGGGTGAGTGTTTACTGGCGACAGAGTTGTTCACTAGAAAGATCAGAATCTGGGGACCAGCAGTTAAGAGTTGCTGGACTCCATGTAATCAACCGTGGTTTGAGTCCCGGACCCGGTGGCTTAAAACTCACGCCAGGCGCGTGTGCGTGTGTGCCCAAGATCCCGAGAGGAGAATGGAGGAGAAGGGATTGCGGCGTGACCATCCCCCCTGGGGGGTGAGTTCTTGCTTTTTGTCTCTCTGTCTTTCTGGCGAGCTCACAAGCCCTATAGCAAAAACCTCTCAAACAAAACAAAACAAAAAACAAACAAAAAGAAAATAAATGAATGAATTAATAAAAGGAATTATTTTAAAAAATGAAAACATCGTTCACGGGACCAGCAGGTAGTGTGGTGAAGAACTCTGGGCTCCCACATAGCCCTGTGGGCTGAGCCCCAGCCCTCGGCTGGCTGGCTCTCTCTCTCTGTCCCTCTCTGTTCAAATTATACATAAGTCAGTGAAGTTAAATGAAATATTTTTTTAAAAAAATGTTTAATTCAGAGAACCAGCAGTTAGTTAGCGTAATGGCTATGTCACTGGACTCCCACGTAGTCTACCGCGGTTCGCGTACCGGACCCGGTGGCTTAAAACTCACGCCAGGCGCATGTGCGTGCGTGCCCAAGATCCCGAGAGGAGAATGGAGGAGAAGGGATTGCGGCGTGACCATCCCCCCTGTGGGGTGATTTCTCGCTTTCTGTCTCTCTGTCTCTCTCTGTCTGTCTGGCGAGTGCATGCACCCTATAGCGAAAACCTCTCAAAAAAAAAAAAAAAGTTTAATTCAAAAATAAAATAAAACCCTGATTCGGGAACCAGCAGGTTCAGTGGAGACTGAGGCACTGGATTCCACATGACTGACTGTACCGTTCACGGTTCACGTCCCGGACCCGGCAGCCGGAAAATCAGGCCCGGTGCGCGTGCGCATACCCGAAGTCCTGAGTGGACACTGGGGGAGAAGGGATTGCAGTGGTGCCATCCTCCCTGGGGGTGGATCTTGCTTTCTGTCTCTCTCTGGTGAGCACAAGTGCCCTATACAAAAAAAGAAAGAAAAGAAGAAGGCTCAGATGGAATGACATTTCTGAGCGTGTTTTCCCCATGGTCGTAAGTGGCAGCGGCACTGATGGCCGGCCGGGCTCGGCCTGGCTCTGGGCTAATGAGCCAGGGACAGTGGGACCTGTGCCTCCTGCCAGGCCAACAGGCCAGCAGCAGGGCCTGGGGACAGAGATGGCTGGTGGGCAGACGGCTCTCTGTTTTTTGGAGAGGTTTCTGCTATAGGGCACGTGTGCTCCCCAGACAGAGAGAGACAGAGAGACAGAAAGCGAGAAATCACCCCCCGGGAGGATGGGCACGCAGCAATCCCTTCTCCTCCATTCTCCTCCCAGGATCTTGGGCACGCACACATACGCACTTGGCGTGAGTTTAAGCCCCAGCGTCATAGCCATTACGCCAACTGCTGATCCCAGCGTGTTCACGCGCTCTCTCTCTCCCTCTCTCCCTCTCCCCCCCCCTCTCTTTTAACGTGCCCTTCTCCACCCTCTCTCATTTGGGGATTTGGGGCATGCGCACAGGCACCCACAGTGTTTCTCAAGCTGCCTGGTCTGGGACTCGAACCGCACAGTCATCCATGCAGGATTCACCCGCCTTCCCCGCCCCCCTAGGAAGACTGATTTTTATTGTAGTTTTAGATTTTTGCCAGACCCAGATGTCACGGACACTAGCTGGAGACAGAGAGGGAAAGCAAGAAAACACCCCTGGGGGATGGCCACACCGCAATCCTTTCTGCTTCACGCTCCTCGCGAGATTTGGGGCATGTACACACGCACCCAGAGCGCTTTTCAGGCCGCCAGATCTGGGACTCGAACTGTGTAATCGGCCATATGGGATCCAACACCTTAGCCCCCACTAGTCCAAAAACTAATTTTTAAATAATTATTTATTGTATTTTAGAAGTATTGTTTCACATGAGTTTTGCCAGAGAAAGAGAGAGAAAGCAAGCGGCCAGGTCCAGGACTTGAACCAGTCGGCCATGTGGGAATCCCAGCACCTTAATCACCACGCCACCTGCTGGCCCCCCAGGGGCTAGTTTTAAAACGAATACAAACGTGCGTGTTGCCCAGGTTTTCAAACTGGGGAGACCTCACGCGTAAATGGCGCCCACCACCCAGGCGGAGGGGCCGCAGGACCGACCCATGCAGGACCCATCGGAGGTGCGCACAGGCTTCTCCGTGGCTTTTTGGGGGTGCAAGCCGGGGAGCCAGGGCGGTGACTGCACAGGTCCAGGGGCAGTGCATGGGGCTGGACCCGGGGCTGCGGAAGTGGGTATTGTGAGGTTTCCCCAGACTGGATGTGGGTGGTGCCAGGGAGTCCGGAGCCGCCCGAGGCTGGAGCCGGAAAGGGAGCTGGGGCAGCCTGCGGGTGGGGGGACATCCCGTCCGGAATGCGGGAGGCAGGGCAGAGTGCACGTGGGGGTACTGTCGGTAAAGGGGGTTCAAGGGGAGGCCTGCCGACCGAGCGGAGCACAGGGAGATGGACGGGGTGGGGAGACAGGGGACACCCTCGGGGTCACGGGTCCCGCGTCAAGACGGTTCCGGGGCACGTAGAGGGTTAAGACCCCGGGAATGTGTCCCAGAGACCGAGGCCGGAGCAGACTGGGGTCCGCGGGCTGCGCTGGGGCGCGCCGGGGCCGCCGCGCTCGGCAGGAAACCGGCAGCAGCTGGGAAAGGTCGCGGCGAGAGCCGGACGCGCAACGCCAAGCTCGGCCACCGGGCGGCGGGCCGCCGCCTTCCCCGCGCGGCCCAGCCCTAGGCCCGGGAGCGCCGGAGACGGGGAGGGTCTGCCCAGCCCCGCGGCCTCGGGGCCCCGGCGACGCGGGCATCTGGAGCGTCTTTCTTCCAGGCTCGGATGCAAAGCTCCGGGCAGCTCAGAGCTCGGGGCGCTAAGCGCCGCCCCTCTGGCTGGAGCTGCACACAGTAGGCGCTTACTACGGAGCGGCCGGACCGCAGCGCGCGCAGGGGCGCCTGGCGGGCACTGGCGGCCGCGACCCTGGAGGAGCCCGGCGCCCTGAGAACGGTCGAGGGGCGCAGTCTCCTCCAGCCCCCGCCGGCGCCCCCGGGGCGCCGTGACACCGCGCCTCGGTTGCCGGGTAACCGGGCGGGAAGCCGGGCGGGGGGCGCAGCTGCGCTTGGCGTGGGTGACACTGCGTGCAGGCAGCGCTGTTCCAGGCAGCCCCCTCCCCGGGCTGGGGCTGGGGCGGGGCACGTGGTGCCCTAGCGGAGGGGCCGGTGGAGACCCTACCAGACTCCTGGATTCACTAGCCCACAGCCTCAGTCTCCCGGGGGGCTGTTGACGTTGGGACCCCCACTGGGCTGGGGCGCCGAGGAGAAAGGCACAGACACAGACACCGGAGTGGGGTTTAAAAAAGGGCTTGTTTAATTAATTAAATACAAGGGTGAGGCCAGGCAGGGCGGGGGAGGGGCGCCACGCATGGAATGCACAAGTCCCGGGCCCTCCTCCCCCCAACCCCGCCCCCTTCAGAGGCCACAGCGACAGGGCTGGGACCCGGACCTGACGCCCACCAGCTCCTGGGAGTGGGCACAGGTCCCTCCAGGCCTGGACGTGGGGCTCCTCAGTCCCCTGGGCCTTGCCCCTCTTCCCACAGGCACTGGCCAGGCTGCCCTAAGTGGACACTGGCAAAGGACACCGGCCCCCACCACAGACTAAGGCATCTCACGCTCGGCCACAGGGGAGGGGCTGAAGCAGCCCCTGCTTCCCTTCTCCAGGCACCTGGCCCTGGGTCCACCAGGCTGCTACCTCCCGAACACCCCAGCCTTCCACAGGCAGGCCGAAACCTCCGTGGGCCGACAGAAGGGGGGAGACAGCCCCCTCTGCGGCCTCTGGGGAGGGAGCTCCCAGGTGGGGGTCCTCCAAAAGGACACCCCAAAGGGAACCACAGAGCAGATAGGAGAGGACACAGCTGTCACCCCAACAAGGCCCACCCACCCCTCCCCCACACTCACCCCCCTGAGGACGACGGGCCACCCACCTCGGCCCAGAAAGGGATTGGCGCCTGAAAAAATATTCTACCCGGTCCAAAAACGAGCTATCCTGGGGCTGCAGAGCTGCCCCGCTTGCAGTCCCAGCGGGAGCCCACCCTTCCAGGCCGGGGAAGAGGGGGTGTGCAGAGGCCAGGCCGGCGCGGCATCCCCCGGCTCTGGGCCTCCACCTGCAGGGGTGGCCGAGGGAGCTCCACCCAGTGGCTACCCTCCTGCACCAGAGTGATTGTCGCCTGTCGCCACAAAGGCCGAAGTCGGGGACCCTGCCCCGTGGGGAATGGAGGCCGGCGCAGTCTAATGGTCGCACGCACACGCGCGCACACACACACACACACACACACGCACACGCACACGCGCGCACGCGCCCACCCAGCGGACTGTGGGGTCAATAAATAAGCGGCACGGGCAGCTCCTGACATCCGCCTCCCCGCCCCATCCGGGCCAGTAGAAATGTTTGGAAGAACTCCAGGCCCCCTCCCTCCCCAGACCTCAAAAGCAAGACTGGGGTCCCTCTCTCCACCCGGCCGGGCCCCCCAGGTGTGGGGTGCTGGGCCGCCCCTCCCGAGGGCCGTCTGTGGACACCTGAGTTGAGTACCCGAGCGGGGGCGGCCGGGCTGCACCCCCGTTTCCCTGAACGTCTCCAATGGCTTACAGTGGGGTAGAGGTGGGTTGAGGCGGGGCGGCAGGGACCCCTGTCTCATCTATGGCTGTCTGCACTCTTCACACCAACCTGGCGCGAGGCCGGGTCTGGCAGTGAGTCCCAGAAGCCCCAGTCCCGCCCCTGGGGGAGGCAGGGAGTGGCCGAGGGGAGAGGGGGTGGTCCGGGCTGCTCCCCCCGGCCTGTTGCAGAGATGGGAAGGTAGCAATGATGGCTATGTACAAACACGCCCCAGGGCCAGCCTCGGCCCCTCCCTGGGGCTGGACGGGGCACCCCCAGGGTGCGCGGATGTCTGGGCAGGGCAGGGCACCCTCCCCCGCCCACCGTGCCAAGGGTCCTGGATGGCAGGTGTGTCCCCGGGTTGCTGGTGGTCAGGACAGGACCGGGGCTCTACAGGCCGGCGGGGGCGGGGCTGGGCGCCGGGCTGGGTGCGGGACTGCCCGCCAGGCTGCAGGGCAGGGAGTCGCTGGGCGAGGTGCTGCGGGCTCCAGGGCGCCGGAGCAGTTCCGGCCGGAAGCCAGGGTGGCGGCGGGCATGCTTGGTCAGGTGGTCGCTGCGGGTGAAGCGCTTGGAGCAGAGCGGGCAGGGGAAGCGCTTCTCGCCCGTGTGCGTCCGGTGGTGGCGGGCCAGCTCATCCGAACGCGCAAACTTCTTGTCACAGCCCGGCCAGTCGCAGGCAAAAGGGCGTTCGCCTGGGCAGAGGGACAAAGGACAGGCAGCGGTCAGCGGGGAGATGCAGAGACGACCCATCAGGGCCCTAAGCGTCACGTGACCCAGTCCCCACCGCCAGAGCTGAATTCTCAGAACCCTCACTGCCAGGAAAGCCAGCCTCTCCCGCCACACCGCATGAAAACATTTTCCCGAGAATGTTTTAAATATGTTTTTCCCTTGATTTACGATGGAGTGTGTGTGCGTGCCAGAAACAGGAGCCCCAGGGTTCTGGGACATTCACGCATGTGCTCGAGCCGGGCCAGGGATTCGAACCACGATGACTCTGCAAGCTGCAGCTGCCCAGTGCAACTGGCCACGCCCCCTTTAAAATGCTTACTGAATTCTGGGCCAGCAGGTGGTGTGATGGATAAGGTGGTTAGAGCCCACCTGGCCCATTCTGTGGTTCGATTCCCAGACCCAGGGGCTTGAAAAACATGAGCTGAGCATGCCCACACACGCTCACGCATGCAGGTCCCCAAAGTCCCAGGAGAATGAATGAAAAGGGACTGCGCCCCCGGGCTGCAACTTCTCTCTCCCCCTCTCTTTCTGGCCAGCACACACACTGTGGCAAAAAAACTAAATAGTTTGTTTCTCCCACGAGAAAGAGACAGAGACAGCACACCCCAATGCAGTCTTCGTGCCTCGATACACCTCACCACAGGAACGCTCCGAAGGCACGCTAACATTTGGGGCGCCTGCCCCGTTCTCCCTCCTGTCCCACTGCCTCCACCCCACTCCTGCCAACCGCCAGCTCTGGTGGGGCATTCAGGACCCCCAGGGTGGGCACACAGCAGTCATCCTTTTCCAGTGGCCACCTGGATGCAGAGGGGGCCCTGCCACTTCCATGCTGATCTACCACTGACCTGGCGCGCTATGGGTATGGGGAACTTGAAAAGGGGCCCCCACTTTGTACCCCAAACACCTGCGGCCTTCAAGAACTGGGCAGGGGCCATCTCGGACTGTGGGCCTTCTGGGGACCTGAAGGGGGTTCAGGACGCAGGGACAGGCTGCATGGCCAGGGCCGTCACAGAGCCTGCAGGAGCAGGTGGCGGGTTTTCCACGGGAGGGGAGGGGCCCTGCAAGGGGC